ACTGTTTAATAATCAATTAACTACCTTAGATCGTGGAAAACCGGTTGGCTGTTTCACTTATTCAACGTTTCATCGAAATGACATTAACGTTTGTAACGCAAATACTCTTTGATCAAATGTTACATCTTAAAACAGTACTATGATCTCCAATCCTTCTGTAATTAAATATAACAGCATAACAACTATGTGTCAATCTATACATTTTTGTCATAAGTTATATTTGAAAAATATCACCAAGACTATTGTGTATTTCATTATACTTTTTATTATTTGATAAGTGATAGCTTATTCTTGCGTATATACATTGAAAAAAACCTTACTCGAACAAGAACCGTAATAACCTTGTTCCGTCTGTATCGAAGTATACGATTTCATTATAAGATACTCTATTCTTTTGATTGAATTCTTAAAATATGTTTCGCTACATCGCAGGTATTTGTCGTCTCAAACAGCGCGGTTATAGTCTGGCGCACAAATATAATATCGGTGTTTGGACGTGCTTGCTAATTTCAATTTTTTTTTATTTATTTCATTTTTTATACAAATGTGTGTCATCTTCGTTCTTTGCATCTATTTTTTTGTTATTGGTATTTATTGGATTATGTGTTTTTTCACATACATCACGATGGTGCATTACCATAGTAGTACATAACTGTTTGCACGGTCGGCAGAAGCTATAGTCGCTGCAATTACCAGGTGAAGTGTAGCCCAGTGAGACGTTTCGGTTGTATGAAAAAAATAATTTGATAGCTATTTACCCGCTGTCCAACTGACCGATATCGAACGGAATCCTTGCAACGATTTATGTCTAAGAAAACATTCAGGAAATAATAATTTACATACCAATACGCTTAACTGGAATGTTGCTTCAATTTTCTCGCTATATAATGTTACTATTCAACTTTTAACTCAATTTTTATACAAATATTTCAGTTATTATACTTGAATGTTAGTTTAACTTTTTAAAGTAATCAAACTTAAAATTACTAAATTCTTAATTTTTTTATATATATTTTTTACTTTTTTTTTTTAAGGTAATTTAACGTCAATGATACTAGAGTTGCGTCGATTGCATTTATTTAATATTAAGATATTAATAACTTAGTCTTTCACTTTGATATTAATATGTCATATTATGAATTTTTATTAATAAATGGAAATTCTTAACCTAATTTATCAAACACCTGATTGTTTTTTAATATTTCCATAATGAAAAAATATTTCTATTTTTCAAAAATAATACGGTTTTTTTTTTTTAGAGTAATCTAATTTATTTTTTAAACATCGTGTAATTCAAAAGAAGCTAATAACGATGACTAACGTAATTTTTGGTAGCTATTCAACGATTTATTTACTATATAAATATTTCAATTATCACCATTAAAATCTATCTTCTCTTAGAAGAAGGCTATACATGGAACTATCACTTCAAAATTATTAATTATTTTCTTCATTTTATTCTTTTTTATTATATATTTTTAACCCTTTTATTTCAGTACCACACAGCTAATTTTTTTAAGTCTTTAAAGATCATTACAGTATAGTCTAAAAATCTAGTAATTCAAGTACAATAATATTTTTTAAACACAAATGTAAAAAATGAAAAAATCTTAACTTATAACAAAGACTTTTCAATTACTCTGAAAGTTATAATCTAGTTAATTGTTTTATACGCTATTGATAATAATAAAAAGGATAGTAAAGTAACAATTCCAAATTTTACCAGTTTTATAATTATATTGAAACAATGTAAATCATGTTTCAGTTAGAAGCATTATTTATATGGAGTAAAATCAAATCCTAGACATGAAATCTTTTAACCCGGACATAAAACAATAGTAATTATTTTGTTTTCTTTTGTTCTTATTAAATATATAATAACCATAGACTTAGCTGCTATAATATTATTACACCGTATAATCAATGTATGAGAACTAGACAATTGCACGAGTTCATGCAACTATTTGGTAGTTTGGTGAATATCTAAACGTAATAACTGTAAATTTAATTATACTTGAAGAACTTATTGAAGTTTTTTACCGTTCTATAGTAAAAACACATGCGCAGAGAAGTCGGTGATATGATATTATTGCAAGCCAAAATGTCATTGTCACGATCTGCACCCGTATTTGCCAGCAGCTGTGAAATTGTATAATAGTAATTCATTATTCTTTGTTATAAAATATTTCTATTTTCCGACAATACGTATTCGTACTCTAACTAGATCTGATTGTAGACTCAAGGTACACATATGATTTCGTTTCTTTTTAAAAGCCAAATTAAGATTTCGTATGTTGTTTTAATAATATTTTGATTTTTGAATGCACAGTTAATTTTATAAAAGTTTATAAAAAAGTGAAAATAATTGCAAAAAAAAAAAACATTGTCATAAAATAAAATGTTTTTTCTCAATAGGTCAACTGTGTTATTTTAGTTCGATTATTTGTTTAACATAAATTATTGTCATGCCGTATTTGTATTTTCGGCTGTTTGACCCACCTGAAGTTAATAAGCGTATAATACCACTTTAACATCGTTGACGAATTCCGGATCGATTAACCTGATTCTTCAACTTATTTTTGAAGCAGATTTGATTCTTTAATGTATAGGTCGATTGATTAACTATGTTTCGTACCTTTAAAAGTATAAAAAAAGTTGGCTAATTTGGAAGTTTTTATATGCTCTACCGGGCAATTAATTAAAAAAAATAATTTTGAAATAACGTTGTAAAAATGTTATTTAAAAAATAATTCTATTTGGATATTAAATTACTTAATTTTTAATCTTGTTCTAGTTCCCCTACTTATCCTTTAAATCTATATCAACTTAAGTTTTTTTAATTAAAACATGCAAATTTAACAAGTTTTATATTGGAAAATAAACTATAAAAAAATCTATTTAAAATGAAAATATATCCAAAAATATGGGTCAATAGTTGTTATTGACTAGTTATTTTATTAATTAGATGATAAATACATTTAAAAAATTTAAGTTGATATCTGCCAAAAGGTCGAGAGGAAGGGATAGTGTTAATTTTTTTCTTTAATTAGTAGTACAGTTTTATAAACTTTTGAAAAGAATAAATGATATATTATTTTGTATTTTTGTTAATATTGCGTGATGCATACTTAGTCAATCAATCTCTATACATTTTATTGATATTGAAAATATTTCAATTGCTATTATGTATAACGTCTTAAGTAATTCTCCATTTAGTAATTTTGTGTTAAAATTAAAAATTTGACTTTTTGATATTATGACTATATTATCATTTAATTAGATAATTAGCAAACATGTTATAATACATTGACCATCATATTTGTACAAAATATTTTTTAATAGGACAGCCTACTTACTAAAAATATGTCTGAAGACTATTTACAATCAATTTGTACTGTATCCGTGTTATTACAGCAATTACTCATTCTTTTCAAATCATTGTCCGAGTGCTTTCGCCCTTTCACAATTTTCACTATCTAAAGTCAGAGAACAACGTAAAATGTAATGTAAAAATGTATAAACATATCGACTTCAAAATCATTAGACCAATTCGTAGGGTGTATTATATAAATTATTTTACTATAATTTATTCTTTAAGTTGTTCTATATTTTTTGCTAATTAAATGTAAATCATAAACCATTTCTTAATCAAAATTTACGGAGCAGCAAAGAATCATATTTCCTTTCAAAGAAATCTGTGTTAAACATTATTAAACATTATTAACGATAAAAATTAAGAATCCAATTAGATCATATAACAATATTTATAAGTATAATGAAAAAAAAAGTATACACGTCTATCATAGAAAGCATTTTTAAAATAATTCTCATTAAACGAAATATTTGTTATGCAATAGTAGTACTTTATACTATCAGTTTTACTAATTACAATAAAGACATACATACATTTTTGATTGTAAAATTAAAATTTTTTATTTTGTTAAAAAGTAATTGAATATATAATTAAATCTTCTTCTTCTTCTTCCTCGTCTTAATCCCAACTACTTGGGGTCGGCCACCCTTATCCTAAACTTCCACTTGACACGATCTCCCACATGCTCTACGCTCACATCAGATGTCCTCATATCGCATTCAATAACATATTTTCATCTCTGTTTTGGTCTTCCTCTACCTCTTCTTCCTTCAACATTCATTTCTACAACTGTTATTACGGCTTCCGATTCTTCTCTTCTCATAACATGACTAAACCATCTAAGTCTATTTTCTCTCATCTTATCCACGATTGACACTACACCTATACTCCCTCTAATATGCTCATTTCTTATCTTATCTTCTCTAGTCACTCCACTCATCCATCTAAGCATTCTCATCTCTGCTACACTCATTCTCTGCTCTACTTTCTTATCAACCGCCTAACACTCTAAACCATACATCAAAGCTGGTCTCACTACAGTCTTGTAGAATTTGCCTTTCAGCCTCATTGGAATTCTTTTATCGCATAAGACACCAGACGCTTCTCTCCACTTCAATCACCCGCACTTAAACCTGTGTCTCAATTCTAGTCAAATATAATTGAAAATATAATAAAATCATTTTTAAAATATATTAAATTATATTAGATCAAAATTTTACTGTTTATTAGTTTATATAACAAGATTACATATCTTCTAAAAAATATAGAAAATTGGATGTTCATTATTGTAGCAGTGTAATATTTAAACACGTTTGAGCTTTAATATTTAAATAGTTTATACGTTTATTGGTTCATTAGTATATTGGAATATACTGGTTCCCTCATCTATATTGAAATTTCATCTTTCTCAGTGTAAAAATCCTGTAAAATTATTTTAAGGTAGAGTCGAACCATATAGCTGTGATGGAGACTAAAGAAATAATGATTATTATGTTGAAATATAATTGAAAAATTAATTGGAAAAATATTTATTATAATATAATAAAAAAATTGTATTTTTATTATATTATAATAAATATAAATGATTTAATTATAATAATATCACAAATTGTAATTTTATATGTAGCGCCAATTCTCAAATGGATAATGATGTTACTCCAGTGTACCTAGCAGCACAAGAGGGACACTTGGAAGTTCTTAAATTTCTTGTATTGGAAGCCGGTGGTTCATTATATGTCCGTGCAAAAGATGGAATGGCTCCCGTTCACGCTGCTGCACAAATGGGTTGTCTAAATTGTTTAAAATGGATGGTAAGTTTTATAAAATTACAAAAAACTATTTTTAACTATTTTATTTTTTTACATTACTTTTCTTTTGGGCGTATTAGGTTATCCCTTTAATTCATAATGAAATTATCTAACATTAGTAGTATTATTTAGTTTATTTACGAATTGTGTTATTATTCAGCAAATTTACTTACTAAAATAATTTTAGTAAGTAAATATAGTACAATTATTGTACTATTTAATTTATTTTTCATAAACACGTTTGTATATATTTAAAGTTGTCAAACACATCCATGGGACGTATTATTATCAAATAAATTTTACTTGAATAAAAATGAAATATCATGAGTCCTGTAAAAATAACTTTTGTTTTCGTGTCAAAAATTAATCGTAATTGTATTTGTAAAAACAGGTTAGAGATCAAGGGGTTGACCCTAACCTTAAAGATGGCGATGGTGCTACAGCACTACATTTTGCTGCCAGCAGAGGTCATGTAGACACGGTTAGATGGCTTTTGAGGCATGGTGCCAATCTTGTTGTAGACAAATATGGAAAAAGTCCTATTAACGATGCAGCCGAAAATCAGCAAATGGAAGTGAGTATTGTAAAATTTTACAGATTTTACAGTCTCAATATTTTTAATAATTGATGATGAGCATTGTTTCGTATAATACAGAGAAATTATTTTTATACTACGTTTAATCATCAAACTTAATAAATGTGTAGCCAAATGGCTACACATTTATTAAAAACAATTTATTTATTAATATCAAATAAACACTTAAAAAAAACATTTCAGAAGCGCATTCTCTTATTAGTCGGTATTTAACCCAATTATTGCGTTTTCAAATTATTCCGGTCTGCCAAACAGTACCATCACAATTCTATCGAAAGATAGTCGATCGCAGTGAAATCCTAGAAGCTATCGAAAATGTTTGCCCTTGAATTTCCGTTCCAATAACTAGACTGACCTTGATAATGATATTTTCAACAATTTATAAAATATGTAAATGAAAATGAGACTAGAAAGTCCTTTAATCTCAAAATATTTTAGCAATTTAAGCAGTATAAGGTACAAAAAAAATATTTTGACACAATAATTTTCCCAGGCGACGATTTTAAAAAATAATGCTATAAAAATATGTTTAAAACATCATTTCAAAAAAAAAAATGTTATTATGGTTATTTCACTAAAGCTTTTTTTCGTGTATTTTTATGCTTTTTGAAAAATAGAACTAGAATTCAAATTTTTGTATTTTTTTAAGTTAAAATAATTTGTTTGTACTTGATACATTCAAGTCAAATCAAATCTATGTCAAATTTATATAAATCCATAAACAAACTTCCTATGGATACTTATTATTTTTAACAATAAAGTATTTATAATATAACAATTTTGTATGTACAAAAACGTTGAGTAATTAAAGTACTTTTATTGATAAAAATGTTTTTTTAAGTGTTTAAACATATTAGTGCAACATGGTACAATGCCTGATTATCACGATGAAAAGAAAAGTGGCAAACTATTAGGATGTACTTGTCGTAAAGAAGAACCCAAACAACGAGTGAGTATAGTATTAAATATAAATAATTACAACATTGAGCATGTTAAAACCATGTATACAATGTAAAGCATGTATACAACGACTTGTATAATTTTTAATACAAATTTTTGTTAAAGCTTTCAAGAATTTATCGTAATAAAATTAAAAAAAATTATTTCTTTACTTGCGCTTCGAATTTTCTTTGTAAAAATTTATTCTAAATTGAATATTATCTTTCGTATTATGATAATAATTTTAATGTTCATAATACCTTACATCTATTTTTTAAAAATATATTTTTATACATTGAGTTATAGACTCGATGTTAATTTTCAGTTTAAATAAAAAATTATCTAATCCTTTTTCTCGTCATAATTTTTTTCAGTGTTCATTTGCCGACTGTATTAACTATAAAAAGAGCCAAGAACCATTTTACTTGCATCCGCCGTCTCAGAATCTACCACTGAACGGTTCCGGTCGCGGTAAGATTGCAGCCAAAGATGGACTTTACATAAACCCAATGCAGCATACGCAACTTAAAACTCCTTCAGTGGTTGAATCCACGACGACAGTTGTTCCACCACCACCGCCACCACCTCCAACTATGGAAAATACCATTAACTATAATCAACATCTCCCAAACAATAATAATATGAATAATATTATAAGTAATAAAAATCATGGTCCATTTTATTTACATAGTCCAAATGAAGTAACCGATGACCCGGTGAAGGAAATATTTGTCAAATCACCTACACTTGGAAAAACGTCTTCCAATGCATTTATTTTGAATTCTCCACCACCACCCCCACCACCGGCCATAGGCCTTAATACCATGACGGGTAAGAGATTTATTCATGAATTAGTTACACTGAAGCTATAAAATATCTATTTCTTCTTTCACGTTTTTTATCACAGCGTTTTTTTAAACATAATACGTTTTCATAATAAAAACTGTAATAATGGTTTTCATAAAAATATGTCAGCCGATTGTGACACATAATCAAAACACTTAAACCGTAATCAATTGGTAAGATTAACTTTATCATTTCTAAACCAATTACAATGACATAAGTGTCCTCGAGTTGGAATCTTTATATAAAAGTTTAGTACATTTCTAGACGTCCTTCGATTTATAAAAAAAAAAAAGTGTTGTTTTTTGAGTTAAAATTATTTGTTAGATGATATTCGAACATATTCTGTTACGCATCAATCATCTTTTTACTTGAATTTTTGGTCGAAAAGTTACATAAAATACAATTATTATTGTTATTATTATAAAATATCAATATGTCAATAGTTGAAGAGCAAGTAGCTTGTTCAACTGTAATTTGGCGTCGATTAGCTCGAATTCGATCATCTAAGTCGTCAGCCACTAAGGCAGCGTCCAAAATAGCTCGACGAGATATTTCAAAACTTTTCGGCGAAAACGGCTGGTATACCGAACTAAGTCCCAACATAATTAGGAAGTCTAGCTCGTCTAACACGGTTCGTTTTAGTCTAACTAACGATATCGGTTTTCCAGTTAAAGTTGAAGTACATAGCAGTAGCAGCTCTGGTGCTGGTTCAGATGAAAATTTGAGCTCATCATCATCAGACAGAGGTAGTGATCCGGGTACTGTAATGGGTGAAAACGACTACGAAGATATCTATGAAATTCAACAACGGCACAGAAATCATAAAAAAGAATCAAAAAGTCCTAGCAGAGATTCGGGCAGCCACAGTCGTTCAGGTTCCATGAGTTCTACGGGTAGTATCGGTGGAGGCCCAGTGTCATCAACCGTCGTAGTAATGCACACCCATGCGGCAGTAGCTGAAACAACTCACATGACGGTCTCTTGCCACGAAGCCACAGGAGCATTGACTCCAGGTATGTAAAAAAAAAAAAAATAATAAAAAATATTACGCATTTGAAAACTTAATATTTTTTCATTTTTTTTATTTGATTATTTCAAAGTTGAGATTTAATTAAAAGTAAGTAAATATATATATATATATTATTTACTCATGATATTCAGTACTAATAATTATGCCTTATATATACTATATGATTACCAAATTTTTTATTCAGACACATTTAGTTGTACATAGGGTTTTTATGTTTATTCTCGTTGTAAGTAGATAAAATATTAAAATTGCGTAAACTGAAATAAATATCAAAGAACATTTTAACTAAAAATATTTTGTCTTAGTGGCTTTATTATTATACTTCAACAGGAAATACTCTCTCTTGTGGTATTTTATTGCTTACAAGATTACTATTGTTTATCAGATATGATCAAGTGACTAAATAACCATATACTTGCGGTATTACCGAAAGTAAAACAATAGATAGTATACAAATGAAATTACTAAATAAAACTACTAAAGAATGAAAGCTAGCTTCAAATTTCCCTATAGTTTAAAATATGTGTAATTAATATATAATAATATGTATTGAATTGCTATCATAAATAATTTTGATTAGTTTATTTTTAAATTCTAAGTTACATATAAGTACATTTTTTACTATACATAAACATATATTTAACATCAATATTCATTCCATATTTTATAAAATTGAGTTACCTCCTTGCTCTTGTTATAAATTATTTGTTTTCTATAGAGATGCAGGGCACTTTGTTAGGTTATTATAATTAACGAAAATTAGGCGATAGAAAATAGAATAATGACCCTTTAATCCAATAAAAAAATATAACAAATCTGTTCTTTTGAAAAATTAGATTTTTGTGTCATTCAGTCATTTAACTCCGAGTACAGAAATATAATATTATTTTATAATTTTACATATAATTCAAATTAAATATTCCTTTAAATATATTAATTTAAAAAAAAATATTACAATAGAGTCTGGCGTGTCGAGCGGTTCACCTTCAGATGTGAGCCATTCGGCCGAAGATTCTGACCCCGAAGTCAGCGGCATAGACACAAGACATCACCATCATACACTTCCTTTGCATCCAGTTCACCACAATCTCCATCACCAAATACACAAAGACCGTATTCCGCTTAAAAGAGTGGTTTCAGAACCAGCAACAGGTTCATGTCCACCACCCCCACCTCCTCCAATGCCAACTACTAATTTGCGCCCTGTATATGTATATGTACCAAGTCGAAACGATTCGTTGTCTGGATTTGATGATCAGTCTAGTATGTATTTTTTCTAATTACTACAGTAAATAATTAATTAGTACTTAGAATAAATCATCAAAATAAAATCAAGTGAACAGAAAATTGAACTATGGATAATTTTCACCAAGACTTTCGCCTAAAATAGTGGTGAAGGTGCTATAATTAAAATGTAGATGCTTATAAACATTTAAACATATGTGTGTAAAAAGCGTTCAAATTTTCACGCGCTAGTAATCATACAAATTTTCATATTGTTTTTGATGTTTTTAGAAGGAGATAGCAGTGGGGCAAGTACTCCTGCATCATCAACCGAGCAGCAACAACACTTATCATTCATTCCACCAAAGTTTCCTCAATCAAACACCAACGAAGACGAAACAGGACTCATCAAACCATCGACTTACTTAAAAACTGTCGGTAGTTCTACTGGATCCGGTGACGAAGTAACAGTGGCCGGTACGCGATTACCAGCCACTCCTCTCCACAAAACCAAATCTGATTTAGCAAATAAACAGCTGCAACCTTTGGCTGCTATCAGCATACAAGACTTACATAGTGTGCAATTGAAGAAAACTCCAGGAGCAGCTAAGATCATGAACAGCAGTGATAGGCAGCAACAGTCAGCTGGTAAGAAAAATACCTATTGTAAATAATTGAAATGAATCACTTTCACTCCTGTATAACTTTACAATATATAATAATAATTATTGCTAATCGACCGTATATGTAGTGTAGACATCGTGAGTGTGTGTGGGTTGAGGTTTTCATGTCGCATATAATTAAGCTTGAACGTCTCTCAAATTCCACTGTTCTCACAGTCTTCATTTCAATTCTTTCTTATGAAACGACAGCCATTGGTTTTCAAATGTTCCCACACACTTTATTTGTTTTATATAATTTAGATCTTAAAAAAACTTCTAAAACAAAAATTATCGATTGTTTTCTTAATTTTCAATGCAGTTTAAAAATTTATTTATTAGACTTAATGATTCATTGAAATAGTGTCAAAGTCAAATCATATAATTTACTAAAGAATAATTACATTCTTTTTAGTAATTAATAATGCGAATACATATTACTCATTTGTTATTTATATATTTTTCAAAATAAAAGTAACAATAAAATATATAATTCAAATTTAAAATAACTCGAATTCTACATAGATTAGATATTAATTAAAACATTTTCATAATGAACAGTACACGATACTTGACTAACTATTCCTCTCACAATATCTTCAGAAATTCAAAATACTAAATAATTATTTCTTTTCAAAAGCTTATAAAAACACTACTAAATTAAGAAGAAAAAGTTAAATTTACTCTTTCCTCTTACGCCTTCAATAGATATCCACTTAAGTTTTTATATGACAACTTAACTGGTCAATATAACTTTTGAACCAGTATTTCTACATATATCTATTAGTTATTTATCTATCGTTTTAATAAATGCTGGAATTATGACGAGGGTTTAATTATTTTTAATATTAAGTGTTCATTGTCATACTACTCCTCCCATCTAAATATAAAAGTAGTTATAACTTCTAACATAATTGTTCAAAAGTCGTTTTTGATCAGTCATTTTCTTAATTAATTTATTTTCCATTATTTAAATTAGTTAAATTTATATGACTCAATTTAAATTGATAAATATTTAAAGGGTAAGAATAGGGATATAGCGAAATTTAAAAAAAAGAAGCATATAAAAATCTACATAGACTTGAAAAGAAAAATGTATCATTTTTTTATGGTATAGTTTGAGACATAATTAATCAATCACTCTGAATGAAAATTAAAAATTAATTGCATTTATTTTCTTCAGTTTTATAAACATTTTTATTTAAAAGCATTAAAATGATTATAGTATTCATTAAAAAAAGCTTGGTATATTAAAACGATTCACATGATATTATAATAAATAATTAGACGCGTGATAACTGTGTATTCAAACGATAATATGATTCTTAATTTAGTATATTTTTATACTTTCACTCGTGTTCCTAACAATGCGCGATTTTCAAGTATTCATGATCCATGTTGTGTTAAAATCCAATCATTAATTTTTGTAGGTGGAGTAATATCACCACTTCAAGCACAAAGGCAAGATCTGATTGCTGAATTGAAAATGTCGAGAGACATAAATGGCATAAAAAAGATGAAGGTGGAAAAAGTAAAAAAGGATGAGATGACTGAAAAACAAAAGATAGACGAAATAGCTAAACAATTATCACCTGACAATATAATTGAACAAGTAAGAGATTGTATCTTCATCTAGATGCTTTAGAAAATCATAAGATGTATAAAAACACATATTTTTATTGAATTTGAGAGTTTTCATTCTTTCTAATGTGTAATGATGATATTTTCGTGCACTAAATCTTAGATGGTATCATGTCCAGTATGCGCATTAACCGTGACTAGGCGTTTGTTATATTGATGAACGCAGCTAATCTTTCAAAAAATGTACTTTGTAGTGCATTAAATATTTGCTCAGCCAGTTCTAACCAAAATATTTTTAAGATTTCACCTTTTAAACTAATAGCTACAATTTGTTCAAAATATTTCATATTTTCTTAATTAACGTATTATTATTCATAAGTAGAACTACACGAGAATAGACCTATAATATTTTTAGTCACTTTTAGCTGTATAAATAAATTAAAATTATCATTTGTTTCCATGTTTAGAATGTTTATTGAAAAAAATATATATTATCCAGTGAAAAATTTCTATGTAAATTAAACTAGTTTATTTAAACTTAAATTGTTATGAGATTATTAATATTAAAATAAAACTAATTAAAAATAAATAAATATATAGAATTATATTTCTATATAAATTTCTCATGAAATAATAATTTTTTGTACAATTTTTTTATTTTGGATTTTATTAGTTACATATGTATTTCAATTTATCTGTTATTTAGCTGAAATTACTAAAAATTAAAAAATAATTGAGTGTAAGGCCTTTATGATCTGTTATCGTGATTTAATGTATTTGATTAGTTTTAGTGGTAAAATAAAACTATTAAAAAACCATCCCAGAGGGGGTCGCGGCACAGGGGGGATGTGGCACAGTTGGGTCCAGTATAGATTAAATCTGACAGTGATTAAAATTACTATCATTAAAAACGCTTCGATGCAAATGTGTAGATAGTATTTAATTTTAAAACAATTGATGGATTATTCCAAAAGCTACATGATCTCCTATTTCCTTATTCATATCCTAATTACAAGTTTGATGATTTATATGTGTAATATATGAATAAATAATTATCTATTGTTGAATGAAAGAGGGATATAAATATTATTTCTCATAAAAAAATTGTATTGATCCATACGCTTTTCAATAAATATAGCATTTTAAAGTTAAAAATGTAAAATATAAAATCGAGAATTTTAACACAAAAATAGCATATTTTTAATACGGTAATCATTTTCACCATGAAAACAAAATAAAGTCCGAAATATTCTTTATTCATAATAAAGTATACTACATAAGCTTTAATTTAAGGGATATATAAAAGTGTCAGTATTTCCGGAACACTTTAAAAAGTTAAGTTAAAAAAGTGAATATTTTGTGAAAAAGTTGTCATCTTTAATCCACCCTGTGAACAGTTAAAGGATCAAATTTATAAAAAAAAATATATCAAATGATTAGTAAAGACATCATGCATCTATAAAAAAAAATTATATTAATATAATCATTATTTAAAAATTTATGACAGTTTTAAGTAAAATAATTGAAAAAATTTCGAAAATTAGTGATTTTTAAATTTGTAATTTTTTCGGAGGTTTCCCCCATTTACTGGGAACGAGGGATTTTTTTTCAATTTTTGAGGGTAATGACTTTGACTAGATAAAATTTGTAATTTTTTGACGTATCGTTGAAAGAAATCGATTCGGTGAGAGCTGAGAAAAAGTAGTAACAGTCACACAAAAAAAAGAACACTTCATAAAAACGCATCAAAGCTAATAAAATTAAACATTTTTTATTTTATTTCCAAAGAGTTCATAATTAATTTACTAAACAATTTATCTATATAATCTTTTACTCAGAGCGGATATATTAATACAGTACTAAGATTAAAAAAAAACCCAGCACAGGGGGGTCGCGGCACAGTGGTGACGTGGCATAGTTGGATCAAGTAAATGATATCTGACAGTGATTAAAATCACTATCAAAAATAAACGCTTCGATGCAAATCTTTAGATAGTGTTTAATTTTAAAAAAATTGGTGTTTTATTCCAAAAGCTACTTGATCTGCTGGTTCCTTATTAATATCCTGATTAAGATAAAGTATGTCGAATGAAAAAGGGTTTATTAAAAAATATTATTTGTCATAAAAAAATTGTGTGGATCCATAAACTTTTCAATAAGTTATAGCATTATAAAGTTAAATATAATATAAATAATAAAATCGAAAAATTTAAGAACTGTTCAATTTTTTCTATGTTTTTTGCACTAAAGTTGTCGATTTTTAAAAAATCCCATGGAAATTTTAAATTAGATCTTGCTTTCCTATAAAATTGTCATTAGTTCTTAAAAAAGAGTCATATACTTTTGGAATATAGTGTAATTTTTGATTTAGTAATCATGATGTTATAAAAATGTTTTAGATCCCAGAAAAAGATGCGAATGGTAACTTGATACCTGCATGGAAGAGACAAATGATGGCAAAAAAAGCAGCAGAAAAGGCACGTAAAGACATGGAAGAAGAACTAATTAGGAAAGCAGAAGAAAAACGCTTACAAGCTCTACCTCCATGGAAAAGACAATTGATGCAAAATAAAAGTAAAAATGAGGAAAGGTAAATTTTACGATCAAAAATAATACTTCTGATTAAGGCTTGTATCACGTTATAACAAAATAATTTTTACTGATTGTATTTATTTAAATTGAAAATTATATTTTAGAAGAATTATTTTAACACAGTATTTAATACCTTACTATTAATATAATATATTTCCACAAACAAAATAGTATTACTAATGTTGCTAAGAAATTATGGGAATATCTAAAAAATGTTTTAGTTCATACTCAAATAACTAAAAAAAAATTATCTTAAATATTAATAAATATTTTAAGTGTTGTTTTTTTTTTAGTTCTTAATTGACATTCAATTGAGAGAATATTTTTAAATTAAAAAATTTATTTTTAACTTTATTTTTTTTTAAAGACCAACCGTTATTCAAGTGAAACCAAGCAATACTACAAAAGTGTCTGAAATGGCACAAATAACGGATGGTCAAAATAAGGAAAATGACAAACCACAAGAAACTGAAAAAATAGAAGATAAGTCTGCAATAACTGAACCATCTAAGCATGAAGATGAACCAGAAGAACAAGATAAGATTATTCCTTGGAGAGCTCAACTAAGAAAAACCAATAGCACACTTAATCTCCTTGAATAAAAATATTAAAATATGGCATGTTTACATGATCGATTTGACTATTATTTAAAATTATATATTTGTTTGATATTTATACATTCATATTGTACTATACAAATATTATTTAAACATTAGTAATAAAAGTTTCAGTGATATCTTTTACATATTTATAAAATTTATATATCATTACTAAAATATTAAGTTTGTTGTCTTCTCTGTTCTGTTTAATGTACAAGTTATATATATATATATATATATATATTAGGCACTTAATACTATTTTTTATACCACTTGACATTATGTTATACAATATATATTATTGAACAATGTTTTTTGATAATAAAAAAAAAGTTGTTTTAAATTGAACATAAAAATTAGTCTTTCCTTTTAATAAATCATATATCTTTTAAGTAATCAGTATTATGTTAATATTTAAAAATTCAATATTCAAAAATAACAAAACTAAATTGAAATATTGTTACAAAATGTTATCGAAATATGCAAAAAAATTATTATCACCATGGTTTTAAATTTCAAGATATAACTATTAATTAATAATGTAAAACTGTTTTGAAAATAAAAAAAATGCTAAATTAAATATTCGTATAATTCTACAATATTTAAAATATACCACCATTATGGACAAAATATTAACAATTTTTTTCTCATTATAAAGTGATTCCTTTATCTTGAAACATTTATCATTCGAAATTTAAAGATAATATCGATAATTTTTAAAGGGTTTTCTTTTAGTTCCATACTTTTTTTCATGAAATGTTTTTCACATTATCTCATAAAACCATTGTACTGATATCTTCAGAAAATGACACTATTTTAGTCAATACATATTACTTACTCAATTATTAGTGTAATCCTGTAATACACACACAAAAAAAAAAAGAAAAGAAATAAGAGAGTTAAAAGAGAATAAAATAATTATAAAAAAAAAAATGTTGTAATGCAACAAAAGAAAAAAAAAATTAAATGGGAATATGATGAATAAAAAATATAATGTAAAATATAATATAATAATATAGTATAAAATATGATGGAATAATATGTGGTTAAGTATGGCAGAATATGTAAGAGTGTAAATGATATAAATAAAAAAGGAGTTTTAGAAAGGTGAGCAAACGGTAGTTGAACACATAAAGGTAATGGTTAGATAAATAAAATAAACACAAACGTTTATGACAAAATAGTGGACTGATCTCGGGATTGAATAATATTGAATTAATGATGTTAAATATCCCTTAAAAAAATGTATAATCATCGATTATTAGTTATTTGTAAATTTTTGACAATCTTTCGTACCATTCGCGCCAGCAAAAGTGCCGCACACAATTTAGGTAGCATAAAGAAACTGTTTTTATGATCGTTGCCTTTGTTTTTTGCACAAATGACATAGACATCATGTTGACTGTGTTTATCGGTGCTGTGTAAATATAATGCAGTTCAGTATCCGCAAATAGAACTTCCCGAAAACCCATAGACTTTATACTGAATTATTTTGTGTTCATCGATGATTTTATACGGAATAACAGTATTATTAATAATGTTACGTTTTTTCAAATATGCATCCCATTAATTTTTTATATTTAATGGAACAGGTTTGTTCCACTTTAATTGTTTTGCCATAAATTAAGCATTGAAAGTTTAGTAAAATATAGCAAAATTAATACATTCTCAGCTTGCATCCAAGCTAAAATTTTTAAATGTATTAACCAAACCAAACCAAATGACGAATTTTGGAAAATAATTTAAATGAAATCATAATTTTGTTTTTAATTGCACTCATACCATCAAGTCAAAAATGAGAATATTTATTCACACATAATCTCTTCATTGAAACAACAAAACTAATTAAAAACGTAAAGAATTACAATGATTTTATTAAAAGGTGTCCCTTATATTAAAAAACGATAGCACAGTGGGGTCATAGCACAGTGTGGACGTGGCATAGTTGAGACATGAATAGATTATATTTGACAGTGATAAAAATCACTATCATAAAAAGGCTTCGAAGTAAATATTTAGATTTGTATTTAATTTTAAGAAATTGATAGATTATTCAAAAAATAAAATGAACTCCTGTTTTTTGTTCTACTTCGACTGCCATTTACACTTAGGAAATAGATCGTCGGTACATATTTTTTTTAATTTATAGTACATAACATAAAATGTAATTTGACATATGTTAAATAGACTCAGTATTTCCGGAACATTTTCAAAAGTTAAGTTGAAAAAGTTCAGTTTTGTGAAAAAATTACTATTTTCAATCCCCTCTTGTGGGCAGGTGAATGGTCAGATTTTCAAAAATATTATATCAAATAAAAAGTAATCACTTAAGGTTTTAATATAAAAAAAATTGATGTTTATTTGTTCATTTTTCAAAAAGTTATAGTAATTTTAAGAAAAAAAAATGTCAACATTTCCCGATTTTAAAAACGGAATTTTTTAGGGGATTAGCGCCTTTAAAGAGAATGAAAGAAATTTTTTCAATTTTCAAAAGCAATTTATTTAAATAAATACGGTTTGTGATCATATTATTACGATTGAAAGAAATTGGTTCAGTAAAAGCTTAGAAAAAGTTGTAACAGACACAAAAAAAAAACACATCACTATAAAGTCGCACATTTCTCTGCATATTGAATGTCAACTTTATCAGGCCAAGTATTGAAATCTAGTACATCCAAATCTTTTAAAAGTTCATCAAATTAATTTTTAAAGTCATTTTTATTTTTACACACATGCGTAGCTTGAGTGGTAAATAATCTACTACGCAAATTATTACTTATTAATTATTGACTCATAAAAAACTGACCATGTTGTAAGAACATTTATTACTGTTCTTACCATTTATATTACACACGTTTTATTTCCATTTACTTAATTTGTAATATATATTAATTAGCATAGAGGGAGATGCTGATGTGGCAATTCTACTCGTCTGTAACCCGGAGCTACCGACGTCGAACTAAAAAACGACAGTTGTATTGAGTGGCTGTTATAGACATAGTTTTCAATACAATTACTTTCATCTTATTTATATTATTTATAACTTAACTTGTTTTATTCATCGACCCGTCTATCGCCAATTATCATCATAGCCAACCAACTCCGTCTCACTTGGATATACCTATTAAACTACTGTACTAGTATTCAGGTCAAACGTATTGTACATTACATATAACTTATATTTACTGATCATCCAGAATATAACTTTACTTTGTCGTTGACATAAAACAATAGTCTGATTTTATTTAATAATCTATACCCTATAACTAAGGTACACGATTGCCTGTGCCTCCTTTAGGTAATTAAAACTCATTTAAGGAGATAGGAACGATATTTAGGCAAACGTCGGGTAGCTTCCGATTCTTAGTTTTGACCAAGATCCTCAAGTATTAAACTAGTCCCTCACAATGTTTAATTTTTGAAATTCACTTATTTATAATAATTATAAATTAATTAGTAATGGTATATCTTTAAATATTAGACGTGTCTCTGCATTCATAGCTTCTTGTGCTTTTGGTCCACATATATTAGTCATTGAATCAAAAATTCTAATGGTGTGTTCTATGGCTCTATTTACAGCTGAAAGTGATATACTTCTTTTTTGTAGCTGTAATGATAAATCTGCAAGCTCAGGCAGCCCATAATACATAATTCCTGGAAAAAATAAAAGTTGATTAACAATTAAATGTAAAAATAAAATTTTAAAAATTTACCTAGATTATTAACAAATTTTACTGATGTTATAATACGTTTTAGGCCCATATATTTAGATCTTTCTTTTGTATCTCTTTTTACATCATCAGCTTCTTTGGAAAAGTGGTCAAATAATGGCATATAATTATTCCAAACTGTTTTTAATGTATTTTCACTAGAAGCAACAGTAAATTATTATTGTTATTAATTTTATAAGTTTTTTGTAGATTTAATGTCTTCAATTTTATTTAAATTAATTGTTTCTCTCATTAATTATTAATGGTTTATCACGCAATAGATTGTTGGAAGTTTGAAAGTATAGGTTAAATTGTACTTACCTTACGTCCTATGAAATACAATAATATTTCAAGTAATCCAGTGTTGATTTCCGCATTAAACGCACTACGTATACGATTTACACTATACGTCATATAGTCTATATAATTACTTACAAAAAACGATTCAAGACTTTAAATAATATGATTTAATTACAGAAAGTCCATGACTGATCTTACTTGTAAAAGATTCTACACACTCTATATCTTACTATAATATAATTTATAATCTGTATTATTAATTTTTTACGTGCGTTGAATAAATATTTTTTTTTGAAAGAGTATTTTTTTATTGAGAGATCGATACCAATATTTCTTAAATTTTCCTCTGGCCTGGCCAAAACAAGATTCAGAAATATCTATATCTATGTAAAAAATTTATCAAGGCGGAATTGTGGTGGCCCAATGTGTCCCGGCACTAGAAAGCGCCTTGAAAGGATGCAGCACAATAATCACCAGGGTAAAATTTAAACACTACAAATATATTCGTAAGTTTCTCTGCGTTGTCTAATATTTTAGGCCGTACTCTAAATATAGATATCTGTGCACGAAATTCACGACAGACTATATCACAGAACTACAGTGTAGGTACTACAAAATATAGAAAACATTGATTGTGGTCAACTTCATACACCTATTAATAGTCATCAATAGATCCATTTCTAATTCCAGTTGAAGTTATAAGCGTTGTAAAACTGATATAAATTTGATAGTCAACATTAACTCCCGACGGGCTATATTGAGATACCTGGTAGCGAAGAATATTAGTTTTATCCATAGATAAAATAAATTGGCTAGAATCTAGCCGGTAGATCACGGTTTTTATTACGAAACTATAATGGATGCATGTTACTGATTGTTGTAAAAACTAAAATCCCTAATCTCTGTATTTTATTATACAGAATTAAAAAAAAAATAGTTTTTATGTATGAGGTTCTACTAATATTATGGCATTTACATATTACTATTTTGCTTCAGAAGAACGGACGATTTACTTATTTAATAGTTTCACCAGTTTGGTAGTTAAATAAATTATTGCGTTCCTAGCGTTCCATTTCAATAATATAGAAGGGATACGCTAAAAAAACAATAAAAAGAAGGGGAGCTCTGTCCCCCGCGTCCACCCACAAATCAAGTACTGGTTAGTATAAAACATTTCGTACAAGACCAATGAGCACACCACATAAATATACAAATAGGGTTTACATATTATACCAAAAGAATAAATTGGATTTTTATCTTGAGTAGATTTAATATAGAGTTATACTAGAGAAATAGTTGCATGCCAGTTAATATACTAATAAAAATCGTGTAATTTCAACTGCTTATACAGACGTACACACATACATATCGCTAATAGTAACATCAGCTACATGATTCATCACATCAGAATATTTCTCTTATTAAAATAATTAGAGGTAAGTGAAAATAAATATTTATTTATATAAAAAATCTATAATAATAATTTTACAGAAGGATTTTTAGTACTAAACAATTAGAGTGAGGTAGGTTGTCGAAAACAAATTTACTAAAATAATTAAATTGAAATTTTTAAATTAACTATTTACAATAACAGATGACAAACGCATGAGAAGGGAAGAGAAGACTGTACAATAAGAGACGCGAGGGAATTTTAACGATAATAATAATTATTTACATATACATTTTGTATACTAATGCATGAACAGTTAACTCTGTTATGCTGTACAACATGAAAAAAAAGAGGTTTAAAATTTTCGTTATTAATGAAAACACATGTGAATATAAATGTAAATATGTGGTTAAAATTCATCATTTTCTAATATATCCAAAGATTGGATGGCACTAAATTATATTCTGAATATTATACAATGTAGAATACTTTTAACATCTGAAAAGAAAAAATTATACTATGTTTTATATTAATAAGAATAATGCGCCAGTCATATATGAGTAATTGTTTAGTTATAGTTAAACAACAACTGTGTAATGTGTAAATTTTGGTTAGAGTATTTATATGTGGTAGTAACTTGATATTTTAAAAATAATTAATTGTGTACACTTTAAAATAATTTCCCTGAGCTCATACAAATGTGGTGGTTTCATATAAGTAAATTTTAAATTGACACAGTTGTTTTTAAAATACAAAAACAACAGTAGAACTTTTCGAATTAAGAAGAAATAATTTATTCGCGCAAGAAATATAACCAGTATTTCACTTATTCAGCAATATGAAAATTATGTTTTTATCCTCACATTTAGTTTCAATATGTTTTATTTATTACATTTTAATACCAATTATTCATTCTAATAGCAATGCTTCTTCATCACAGGTAAATCATACATTTTATTGTTATTAAAATGTTATCTATTGAAAATAATTGAGTCATTTCTCCAAAGCTTAAACGAGTAAATATGTTTAAGTTAAGTTGAACTTTTTTGATTAATAAAGTTATTTACATTTTACGATAACTTCTTTTCTATTTTTCTCATTATAATGACAAATTTACGTATATTTTTTTATCTATCGTTAACTACCTCTTTTTTTAATAAAATTGTAAATGATGAAAACATTTTTTTTCAAGGTAGACATATTTTTTTTAAAAATATTATATTGCATATAACTGTCTTAATAATAAAGTCATATAATAGAATATAAATTTTTTTGGAATTATTCAAGAGAAAGAAAAGGTTACACTATTTTTGTGTAGATAACATTTAAAACAGGTTTTTTTAAATACATTGACTCAAGAATCAATGAAAAATATATTTTTTTTAATTCTAATAGTACCAATCACATTATGATATGTATTTCAAAAAAACCCAGCACAGGGGGGTCGCGGCACAGTGGTGACGTGGCATAGTTGGATCAAGTATTATGATACCTGACAGTGATTAAAATCACTATAAAAAAAAACGCTTCGATGCAAATCTTTAGATAGTGTTTAATTTTAAAAAATTGGTGGATTATACCAAAAGCAACATGATCTGCTAGTTCATTATTAATATCCTGATTCAGATAAAGTATGTCGAATGAAAAAGGGATTATTACAAAATATTATTTCTCATAAAAAAATTATGTTGATCCATACACTTTTCAATAAGTTATATCATTATTAAGTTAAAAATGTAAAAAATAAAATCGAGAATTTTCCTACAATAATAGCATTTGGTAGCTATTTTCACCGTGAAGACAAAATAAAGTCCGAATTTTTTTTTTTTTTGCATAATAAAATACATTACATTAGCTTTAATTTAAGATATGTATAAAAGTGTCAGACTTTCCGGAATACTTTCAAAAGTTAAGTTGAAAAAGTTCTACTTTCTACATGCATTTTTTAGATTTGCACCCCCCTCGTATATAGGGAAATGGTCCGATTCAAAAAAACAGTATGTCAATGATGTATATAAATACTACTCCTCATGAAAAAATTGTACTGATCCATACATTTTTCAAAAAGTTATAGCATAATAAAGTTAAAAATGTAAAATACAAAATCGAAATTTTTCACACAAAAATAGCATTCGGTAGCCATTTTCACCGTGAAGATAAAATAAAGTCCGAAATTTTCTTTATTCATAATAAAGTATACTACATAAGCTTTAATTTAAGGGATGTATAAAAGTGTCAGTATTTCCGGAACACTTTAAAAAGTTAAGTTAAAAAAGTGAATATTTTGTGAAAAAGTTGTCGTTTTAAATCCCCCCTTGTGGGCAGGTTAAGGGTTAAATTTATGAAAAAAATATACCAAACAAAAGGTAATGATATTATGCATCTATATAAAAAAGAATTATATTGATATGTTCATTTTTAAGTTATGGCACTTTTAAGTAAAAAAAATAGAAAAATTTTCGAAAATTAGCGATTTTTAAATTTGTAATTTTTTTGGAGGTTTCCCCCATTTACGGGGAACGAGGGAATTTTTTTCAATTTTGGAGAGTAATGTCTTCGACTAAATACGATTTGTGATCTTTTGACGTATCATTGAAAGAAATCGATTCGGTGAGAGCTGAGAAAAAGTGGTAACAGACACAAAAAAAATAAATAAAAAATAAAGCACATCATAGTAAAACTAATACATTTTTAGCTTCTCATCAAAGCTAATATGACGCAAATTCTGATGAAAATCATTATTTTTAGTATTAAATTAATATATTAATGNAAATTATTTAGATATACGGTTTTGCTGTTGAAACAATCATATGATGTAATTTTATTAGTTTACATAAACATATATTTTTGGAAGATACAATAACAAAATTACCACACATTTTTAGACTAGTTAGTAAAAAGCTGAATAATTAATATTTATTATTTAAGAATTATAAATTACTTTAAAAAAAGTATAATTTGTCATCTTGTTTGATGATTTTTTTAATGCGGCAAATGTCTAGCTTAATTGCAGTAATAAATAAAATATTAATTATACAGATTCCTTAAATACGCCTCCAAAAATATTTTTGAAATTATAAAAGTTAATCTTTCTTATTTTAACAATTATGATTATTTGTTGACTTCTACTATCATCTATTTTGCTTTACATTTCATTTAAATTCTTAGCTCTCAAACGATTCATTTTGTTGGTCTGTGCGCCGAAATAACTCAATTTCAATTTAACTGGATCTATTGTCTCTAGAAAATTGAAAAAAAACCTCTCATTTTTTAAATTTTTAAAAAATATTTCAAAATTATGTTATCGTATAAACCACATACTATGAGACCTAGCCATAAGCATATAAACTTAGTACCCTCAGTTAACAAGTTTGCTCCCAAAAAATTAAAAAGTTATCAATGTTGTCATATGCATGTATAATGTTCTTTAAAATATGAAAAATAACTATTAGTATTCTCAAAAATGTTATTTTAATAGACACCTATGAGCTTAGCTGAAAAAAATTTAAAAATAAAATATATTTTGAGAGTTTTATGTATTATTTATAAAATTAAGTTCCTCTATAAATTTAATTAATAAAAACCAAACCTTGACAGTTTTTCTACTATGAAAATAGTGATAATAATCACTGTTAGATATTAACTATACTTGTCCCAACTACCCAATCAGAAATTAACAACAAGCGCAGTAAAGAAAATCAGTACTAGTACTACATCAGTATTAGAGAGTTTTACACCTTTACTGACATTCATAACCACAAAACATTTCTAAAAAATAAAGAAAATTAACATAAATAAAGATATAGTATTAATATAAAAGAAATTCTTATTAATTTTTTTAATATATTTTAATCAGTTTTTTTTTAACTCAACATTAAAAGTTGTTCGACCTTTGTTTTTGGTAAATCGATAATAGTCTGTTCTAATAGAATTTTATTTATGTCTACTTCACTACTATAAGATAAGAGCAATAGGGGTAAATAAGGGGTATTTTTTCCAGTCGGAGTGGCAGTATGTGTTTAACGATAAATACGTAAACGTTTCTACGATTTTTTAGAAATATTCTTGTGGCTTTTTTAGTTAAATATTTTTAATATAATTTTAATTTTATATAAATCATAATATAGCTTAGATTTTTTTAGTTCAAAGATCTAAAGTCAAATAATTAAATAATTTATTTATTAAATAACATAAAATAAAAAGGATGGGTGACCATGCATGCGCTTCTACGATGGCGAAAAAACACCATGTTCCCAGTGCAGAAGACAACGTAAAACCACTGCACTTAAATTTCCTCAGGATATACCAATAGTATTAACTAACCTAACGGTTGTAAAAAAAAAAAAAGATTATGAGTCATAGTATGAATATTTGTATTAAGGTAATAAATAATTGAATAAGAAATGACACATTAATATCTAAAAACCAGTTCGGATATATGCCTGGTAAGTCAACAATGGAGACATTATTTTGTGTGAGACATCTAATAGAAAAGTTTAGGGAAAAAAAGAAAAAGCTTTGTATGGTATTTATAGATTTGGAAAAAGCGTATGATAGAGTACCGAGAGAGGTTCTAAAGAGGGCATTAATGAGAAAAGGAGTCCCGAAAAGGAACATTAATATAATAGAGGATATGTATGATGGCACTTGTACTAGGGTAAAAAGTGTGGAAGTAGTAACAGAAGGTTTTAGGGTATGAGTAAAAGTGCAGCAAGGTTGTACTTTACTTATTTTCTATAGTGATAAATGAAATTACTAGAGAAATACAAGGAGAGGTGTCGTGGTGCATGTTGTTTGCTGACGATATAGTGTTAATAGGAGAAAATAGGGAGGAAATTAATCAAAGTCTAGAGGTGTGTAGATCAGCTCTTGAAAAAAAGGGTTTAAGAATAAGTAGGAGTAAAACAGAGTATATAGAGTACGAGTTTGATAAAGAAGAACACGAGGTAGGTAAAATAAGGAGACCAGTGACAATAGGCGAAGACGTGATTAGAGAGGTGGAAAGTTTTAAGTATTTAGGGTCAATTGTGTAAAAAAACGGTGGTATGGACGAGGACATAAGACACAGGATTAAGTGTGGATGGTGTGAAAGTTCTATAAGGCTGTAGAGACCTATTATTATGTATGGCTCAGGGTGTTGGCCAGTTGACAAGAAAGTAGAGATGAGAATGCTTAGATAGATGAGTGGAGTAACTAAAGAAGATAGAATAAGGAACGAACATATACGAGGGAGTATGGGCGTAGCGTCAATCTTAGATAAGATGAGAGTAAATAGACTAAGTTGGTTTGGTCATGTTATGAGGAATGGAATCGGAAGCTTTAAGAACAGTTATAAAAATGAATGTTGAAGGAAGACCAAAAAAGAAATGAAGGGATGTTATTGAATGCAATATGAAGACAGCCTATGTGAACGTAGTGGGAGATCGTGTCAGATGGAAATTTAGGATAAGGGTAGCCGACCTCAAATAGTAATTGGGATTAAGGCGAGGAAAAGGAAAGAAAGAAAGAGAAAGAGTTGAAGTTAAAAAATTAATTTTCTGATTCAACTCATTTAATTTGTAATAAAAATTACTTCACTTTGAGTGTAACCTCTGCATATGAGATACAATATATAAATTATACTTTATTACACAAAAAAAATTAATTTTATTTTTCTTTACCAATCGCGTAATCGTGTCGGATCGGAACTGACCACTCTCTCCTAACGGTTTTTTACTTATAAACTAATCATTGAAAGTGTATTTAAAAAACATTTTGTTATAGTCTCCATATACAGAAAATATCAGTCAAACAACTCAATCGAATGATGATTTTTTTTATCCAGTTGACACAGCGTGGCAATTAAAACTATGTGAAAAACTTGAATTTTCATTTAAACACAAAAGTGCAATGAATAATAAAATAATACCTCTAGATGTACCCAGGGTTGAAAGGAAAATACCAAGAAAAGGAAATTGCTTTTTTGATGCGGTGTCTTATATGATAACTGGTAGTACAACATATGGGGTCAGATTACGAAACCATGTTTTAGACGTAATTACTCAGTAAATATCTACATTATTTTACAGCACTAAGATAATTTTTTGTTTTTTTGGTCAGTATATGGAGTCACAAACAACTTCGTTAACAGATGAAAACTCCCATCTTGAACGTATAACAATAATGCGTAATCCAGGTAACGCCTGACTACTTACAAATTCCACTCAAAAATACTTTTACATTATTTTAGGTAATTATGGATTCTTAATAATCCATGCTTGCTTAAAACAACGTTAAATTAACTTAATATTTGTAGTAGAAATGTAAAATCATTTGTTTTTAGTTTAGATAAATTATAAACTAATTTCAAAGTTAGAAAAGTTAAATATTTTTTAAGTTTATTTATCAGTTAATAATTTTTAACAGTAAACTCATTTATTTTACTAGTGACTTTAAAAAATAATAATAGCTTCATAACTTTAGTTATATAGTATAATATTTTGCTGTACATATAAAAAGTAATTTTTTTTTGTAAAGAAAATATAAACATGTTAAAGCTTTCATTGATTATTGAATTATATAGAATATTTACAGATATTTCCATATCTTCAGTTTTATGCAGACATTTAAAACTCGTTTTAGAGTTTATTTTCAGATCAACAGTTACAGGTCCGAATTCAACTCTGCAACGAGTTCGAAATGACACCGTAAAACTAAAAATATTGATATATTTGTAAATATTTTAGAAAGGGAAATTTAATTTTAATTATCTATCATAAAAGTTACAAGGACATTTGTTACCTACATTTTATAGTATTAATAAAAAAATAAACCAGTGTCTAAAATACTTTACCTTTAAATAAAATACATAGGCAATTATCTTAATTTTAAAACATCTACAGGGTACAATTCATATATTTTGTTATTAATTTTAACTTCTTGAAAATGTTTATTTTATTTTAGCACAATTCTATATATTTTGTTAACCATAATTACAGTACAAATTAAGAGAATATTAAATTATGTTAAAAGAAAAGCAAAATTGCATATTAAGTTCAATTTACTCAAAGAAAGGCCATCGATATGTTATCATTTAAGTTAGTTTACAAGAACACTAACTTACAACCTTTTAACGCTTTGGTGACCAGCCTTGCTAATTTTTATACAAAGCGTTATATTGCTTAAGGTTTTCTAATTAGTTGACTATAATTAGAAATATGTATAATATTTCATTCATTATTTGCTGAAAAAAATTGCGTTATGTATTTAAAAAGTACATAATATTTATAACAGAGGCAGCATATGGCTATCTTGTATAACTCTTCCATGTGTGTCACATGTATTTAAAAGCGAAAGTTTAAACACTACATTTTTTTAGAGACATATGCCGAATTCGATGAAATTTATGCAACAGCTGCATTTTTAGAAACATCTTTTTATGTTTTCTCTGAAGAAAATGTCAAAAAATGGCTATTTATAAGTAGAGAAGGATTAGATGGCAAAAGAATAAAAGAACCTTGCATATATTTATATCTTAATGGTTTAGAGGATAATGCTCATTACACCGTAGTGATTGATGTGGTGAGTACTCTTAAACCTAATATACGAGTATTAAAACAGTTCTCAGGTAAATTATTTCTGTCAATGTCTTATTGATACACCACTTTGTAATACATATAACATACTTGTCGAAAGTCATAATTGACAATAATTCTTATTAAGAAAAGGACTTAGCTTCGATGCGAAGCTGAGAAGGTATTGGTTTTGCTATGATGTGTTTTTTTTTTTTTTGTGTCTGTTAACACTTTTTCTCAGCTCTCACCGAACGGATTTCTTTCAACGATACGTCAAAAGATCACAAATCGTATCTAGTCGAAGACATTACCCTTAAAAATTGAAAAAATTTCCCTCGTTCCCCGTAAATGGGGGAAACCTCCAAAAAAATTACAAATTTAAAAATCACTAATTTTCGAAATTTTTTCCATTTTTTTTATTAAAAACTGCCATAACTTTTTTAAAAATGAACATTTCAATATAATTTTTTTTATAGATGCATGATGTCTTTACCTATCATTCGGTATATTTTTTTTATAAATTTGACCCTTTACCTGCCCACAGGTAGGAATTTAAAATGACAACTTTTTCAACTTAACTTTTGAAAATGTTCCGGAAGGTCTGAAACGTTTATATATATCTTAAATTAAAGCTTATGTAATATACTTTAATTTAAAAAAAAAAAAATTGACCTCTAGACTTGTCTTCACGGCAAAAATGTCTACCAAATGCTATTTTCGTGTGAAAATTCACGATTTTATTTTTTATATTTTTAACTTTATAATGCTATAACTTATTGAAAAGTATATGGATCAACACAATTTTTTTATGAGAAATAATATTTTTTAATAATCCCTTTTTCAGTCGACATACTTTATCTTAATCAAGATAAGAATAATAATTAGGAACTAGCAGATCATGTAGATTTTGGAATAATACACCAATTTTTTTTAAATTAAACACAATCTAAAGACTTGCATCAAAGCGTTTATGTTTGATAGTGATTTTAATTACTGTCAGATATCCTTATACTTGATCCAACTATACCATGGCATCACTGTGCCGCGACCCCCCTGTGCTGGGTTTTTTTTTGTTTTTTTGGAGCAACTTCTGGACCAGTATTTTAGAAGATATTAACAATTTAAAGTAATGACACGACTTATGCCTTAATAATGTAATCGTCACTGGTTTTGGCGATAAATATCCGTGGGCCATTTATTAATGATGAGTAACAACAGATTATTTTAAAAAGAACCGAAAAAACGAAAATAATCATTTAAAAATATTCACATAATATCGCGATACTTTCGCTGCCGTTGGCAACACCGTGTCTGTTATTATCCTAGGGCGTCAAAAAGTTAACAGCATTAATGGTGAAGATGTGTGGATTGGTTCGTCGAGTCCGGTCATGTGACACATCTAGAGCCGGTGGCCTACATCTTTGACGTTATCACTTTGACAACGGAAGAAAACTCAACGTATCATTTGCAGCTAGTCGTCATCGGCACTTGCTGGAATTTGCACCGTAGCATATGGCACGCGGTGTTGGTCTGTCAAACTACCAAATAACGTTAGTAGGGCGACGGGTAATAAAAATGGCGCAGTTCACAGAAAATCGTGTATCTCGAAGCGACATGGGACTGTGTCATTGATGATAGGAGGTAAAGAGTAGATGCTACTTTTATAACTTTGCATTTCTCGACCGAACTCTTCCTCCCACATAGCTATAAATATGCCAATACATACAAAATACTAATTCAAAAGTTGTTATCGATCAGTCATTTTCTTAATTAGATCATTAAATTTAAAAAAATTTTAGAGTGTAACTTCACAACATACACTCATAGTAATGGAGTTGTGGTGTACCGGAAAGATAATAAACAAAAATAGAAGAAACACGGGGTGGAAATCGAAAAAAATTGTAAAGACGGTAAAATAGAAGACGGTGATTTGCTAGTTGTGTAAAGAATACTGCAAAGGAGATTGTTGGTTGGAGTAAGAGAAGAATGCCATAAAACAAGGAAACCCAGTGGTGGGATGAGGACGTTCAAAAAATCATAGAAAGTAAGAAAAATCAATTCAAAGTATGGTGGTTGAAGGAACTTTTAAATAAAATCTTATTAGAAGGGAAAATTCCAAATGAATGAAGGAATTGTATTGTGGTGCCGATATTTAAAGGTAAAGGTGACATACAAGAGTGCGGAAATTATAGAGGTATAAAGCTTATGAGTCATAGTATGAAAATTTGGGAAAAGGTAATAAATAATTGAATAAGAAATGACACATTAGTATCTAAAAACCAGTTCGGATATATGCCTGGTAAGTCAACAATGGAGACATTATTTTGTGTGAGACATCTAATAGAAAAGTTTAGGGAAAAAAAGAAAAAGCTTTGTATGGTATTTATAGATTTGGAAAAAGCGTATGATAGAGTACCGAGAGAGGTTCTAAAGAGGGCATTAATGAGAAAAGGAGTCCCGAAAAGGAACATTAATATAATAGAGGATATGTATGATGGCACTTGTACTAGGGTAAAAAGTGTGGAAGTAGTAACAGAAGGTTTTAGGGTATGAGTAAAAGTGCAGCAAGGTTGTACTTTACTTATTTTCTATAGTGATAAATGAAATTACTAGAGAAATACAAGGAGAGGTGTCGTGGTGCATGTTGTTTGCTGACGATATAGTGTTAATAGGAGAAAATAGGGAGGAAATTAATCAAAGTCTAGAGGTGTGTAGATCAGCTCTTGAAAAAAAGGGTTTAAGAATAAGTAGGAGTAAAACAGAGTATATAGAGTACGAGTTTGATAAAGAAGAACACGAGGTAGGTAAAATAAGGAGACCAGTGACAATAGGCGAAGACGTGATTGGAGAGGTAGAAAGTTTTATTATTTATTATTTAGTGTTATTAAAGATTATTCCAAAAGCTACATGATCTCCTATTTCCTTATTTATATCCTGATTACAAGTTTTATGATTTATATACTATAAATATATATATATATATATATATTTAGTATATAAACGGAATTGGTGTTATTTTAATAAAAAGTATGTAGAATGAAAAAGGGATATAAATATTATTTCTCATAAAAAAATTGTATTGATCCATACACTTTTCAATAAGTTATAGCATTATAAAGTTAAAAATGTAAAATATAAAATCGAGAATTTTCACTCAAAAATAGC